GTTTGAGAATGGTCGTGGTAGTAAAAGAGGACGTGCTCACATTTACGTGGAGTTACCTCTTTTTTCCACAAGCTAAGACTTCTTCCCCTTTACTGTTTTCTTCTTGGTCAAAACATGGTTGCTGATTTTAGCATCTGTGTATTTTGCTCTCTTGTACAAGGATAGATCGTACTGATCTTACTCCATCAAGGCAAAAGTACAGCCAAAGGTTGTTTAGCCCCAGGGACATGTCCTTGTACAGTTGGATGCCATGCAAAAGCTGCTAAATGGCAGAGGACTCCAATATTATGTATGAATTGGCTCGCTCTCTCTTTTGGCAGAGATGGGGGAGAGCCGAACAGATGCACATTTCCTTCTTCCACCAGCCAGTTAACAGCTCCTCTTTTTTATTGTCAGATGAACCTGGAAACGAGCACAGAAGAGATAAACACAACAGACCGTGCCTCATTGATCTGCCACCGAACCAGAGACAGGAAAATAAGTCCTTTGCTGCTGGTAGCAGCTGAGTTTTCTCCAGCATCTTCATTCAGTTTAGCGTACGAAGGGTTGCGCTGAGTCCTGAGCCTGCCCGGGCTTGCGGTGAGGCTGCTGTGTAAGCACCGTGCGGGGCACTCACAGCTCCTGATGCCATTCCTCATCTCTGGCAGGATATGGAAAATGTGTCAAGCCTGGCACACGATAGTAAATGTATTCCTTTGGGCTGGCTTTGGTGCTTTCACCAGCCCGTTTTAGTTCAGGCAGTTTGTAAACGATGCTTTTAAGACAGAAGATCAAAAAAAACCCACTGGTGCAGCTCCTCAGTAAATGCAAAGATGACTTCAGCGTGCTGTGTTGAATAACAAAACTCTTTTTTCTGTACAACACCAAAGTATCCAGTGCCCGGAGGTTACCTTTATGATTCACAGCATGAATGAGCACGTAGTGGGCGCATACAAGAGCACTGTACGAATCAGGAAATGGCTCTTTCAGGTCTCCTTACAAAAGGAAGTGAGTCTGAAGCTTGCTAAATTTACAGAGAGGACGTTCGTGAACTTAATCTAGGGCAGGGGATGGGGGGAAGGGAATAATCCCTTTTCTTTCACTGTGGGTTGATACACTAACTCCACGTGTTTCTGTACCCAATTTTTAACAACAAAAAAAAGAAAGTAAAGAGGCTAAAACTGCGGCGGTGAGGGCTGCCTCCGCAGCTGCCTGCCTACGACCCTTAGCTGGTGCGTGCGTACAGCCACGAAGACTCTTCTGGCTTCATGCTTCAGCGTCCCCCCCCAACGCTGGGAAAATGAGAGCGCTTTTCTACGCCCCTCAGGTAAAGCTGTGAGTTGGCACAGAGGGAGCATCACCGCACACCTGCGCTCGGGGCATCCTTCCTTCCTCCTCTGCCACTCGAGCCGGCTGCCTGCAGAGCCGGGGCACAGCAGGCTCGCGGGGTGCCTGAGCACTCCTGGCCAAGCGCTGGATGCGGCTCAATTTCAGTTCAAAGAAACAGATTACTTCTTCAAAAGCACGGGTGCTGCGCCCTGCAGTTGAGCGAGGGTACTTCAGGTTAAGACTCGGTGTTGGGAGATTCGGATGCAGCGCAACACACACCACCAGATTCAGAAAGATTTCAGTACAGGGGGTGGTACGGTTCTGTAGCCTTCACACCGTTAACAGCCAAAGAAGCGTGAAATGAGGTTCTCCTCTTGAGGTTATTCTTATATTCAGGCATGCCGTTGCTGATCTCACTACTACCTTAAAATGGAGGGCTCTCCAGCGCTCATCTGCACAGCGGTCTCAGGGCTGCAGGCCACCTTCCTTGGGTAGAAGGACTGATGAACCCAAGTGGTAAAGGACAGCAGCGACAGCCTTCCCGACGCAGCGTCTGTCGTCTCTGCCAAAAAGTGCGTAGCAAGTGACCCACCTTGTTACTTCATGGGGCTGTCTGACGAACTTCAGGTTGGTATTGCTGAACAAGATCCGGACACTCAGACTACATGTAAAGCACATCCTTTAGCTTTAGTCTCTATGATAAACTAAATTCTTGAGTCTTGTGCAGGTTTATATCCACACTATAAACAAAAAGATAAGTTCCCTGACCAAGCTGTCCCATTGCCCCCACTGCTGTTTTCATGGTGGGCACAAAGAGTCTGGGATCGTGAGTCCGAGCGCAGCTCAGGCTGCTGCATGGCTGTTCCCAGGCACACAGTAGTAAGTCACCTGGGATCTACCTTCCTCTCTCCAGAAGATCCAGCAAAGCTTACCAATAACAAGCTCATGCCTCAGTAACTGGGGCCTGGTGAGGGAGCATCACATCCAGCTTACCTGCCACAGCTGGACGTGGCCCACGTGACTGACTGGCTTTGTGTGATAGTTTGATTTAGACCTTTAAATGCATCCAAAAAAAAAGGCCAGGAGGCCTTTCTGTTTTGCTGGTCTGCTTTGTAGTTAAGATATTCTTATCAAAGGTTTTCCTCGTAAACAAGAAGTTTTTGTACCTGTCAAAAACACTCCGCAGCGGGGTTGACCTAGCCAGCTGCCAGGCCATCCAGGTGCAATAGCCGACCCTGCTTTGGGATGCTACATCCAGGAAGGTCCAGCAGGAAGTCATGCAGGCCTCCCCAGCACACCTGAAGAGCCAAAACGCTCCTTGTCAATAGCGGTTTATTGTGATAAAACTGGCTTTACAAGGAGCTTGGGATTTATGGGAAGGTACGGAAATAACCTTTACAAAACAAAAAAAGGGAAAAAGAAACGCATGCAGCAGGAGCTCATATTTGTTCTGAAGCAAACGTGCTCACACTGAGATTTTTCTGCCAGGGCTAATGAACAGAGTGGTAGCCAGCCCCTTGAACTCCCAGGGCATTCTTTTCTCTAGGTCTAAAATACAATTCCCTCCATATCAATCTTGCTCTTTATTGTACTGCAGTTATAGCTCTCTTCGAAGGTGACAGATGCAATGACGAACGCTCCAAAACATTTCAGTTACAACCTCTGCTAATAAGTCTGTGTCTGGGGCCTTCTACAGTTAGAGCACTGAGTCTAACCCAGATTTTTGCAATAAACACTTGTGGCAAAATACTGTGGTTTTATTCAAGGCTGCAAGATTGTGCATATTCACCTGGGCTAACAGGATTGTTCCGGGTTGGTGATGCTCTTTCTAGCAAAAGGAGAGGCTACGCTGCCCGCTTTTACTCAGACCTAACTAACACTACCTACAGGAATTGTCATCCCAGCATTGAGGGCTGCATAGGCCAGCCTGATGATCTCCACTTCTATGATTTTCACATGCTGTGGAGATTAAAGATTGTGTTTTTACCAGAGAGTACTGCAACCTGGCCCCAACATATCTGCTAACGGCCACTATGGCTGAGGACGCTGAGATGAGAACACTATTTCCTCAGTTGCACAGACTCCAGTTACTGAGCTGAAAGGCTTCGAGTGGAACGATGACCAAACTGTTGATGTGAAATTTGGGTGGGGAATATACCATTTTTAGCTTACGTTGTAATATCTTTTGCCAGGCTTTGCCTGTGGGTAACATATGCATGCACAAATTAGTCCATGCATCTGTGTATGTGTACATACGTATGTGTGTGTATATATATATATACACACACACACACACGAACTGTGGTCAACTGCTCTCCTGTTCCTCATTAGGAAAGTCTGTGCCAAGTGAGTCGAATGTTTACTATCTCCTGCACTCTTACCAGCATGAAACTTTTTTTTATTTCCTGTACTTGTAAAAACCAGAAGACATACGGAAAGGATTTCAGTTAGGGCTCTCTTGCTCACATTTTGGAACCATCTCCTCATCATGTGTGTATGCAGGTGCTCCAAGGCAGTCACTTCCTGCTAGATAAAAGCATTCTGTTTTGATGTCTATCATTTGGGACGTTTTTAAGCAGCAGTGTAAATATGCAGTATGAAGATGTGATCGAGTAAAAAGCATTTAAGTCAAGTGATACTTATTTAACCCAGGATCTTCTAAACACGCACACACATGTCTATGTAAACAAATAAAGATTAAAAGCTGTTGTGTTTGAATGAGGATTAGCTAATGAAACAGCCTGGACATGAAAAGTTTCACATTGCCCTCAGAGGCAGTAAAAAGAAACAGAACGGCTAACAACTGCATCAAAAAGGAGAATGAGGAAAGCACATCTTGGTGGAGTCTAGGAGTGAAAATACCCGCATTATCAAGTAATTATGTTCTTAAATACCAATGTGGCATATGCCAAATACTACCGAAAAAAATACAGGCATCTAAATCTGTATTCCTAACTCAATGGTAATCATTTTCTCTAGGATATGAGAATGCGTAAGTGAAGGACTATCTTTAAGGGAAGAAACAAATCTATGCTTGTATTGCAAGAGTGGTGTAACAGAGCAGTTACAGCTATGACAGATATCTCCCAGTTTTCCTTTCCACTACTGACAAAAACACTACTTTGATCCTCCCAAGCCTGTTTGAACTATGCTGGCGAAGCTAAAGTAAAAAACCAAAACATACACACACCCCAAACCCCACGCAAGAACTCTGCTCCCTTTCCTAAATCAACACCCATCTTTACCAGCCTAAAACAATCAAAAACATGCACTGAACACGTTGGGAGATTCTGTTCTTCTGCCTGAGGCAATCACATGCCTTATGCCTGTATTAAAAAAGAGTTGGCCTGTTTTATAATGCCCACACAGACTGGTATTCGCATTGCCAAGGTCTGTTTGTTTTTCTCTAAAGGTTTGTGGAATATGCTCAGCCAGAATACCTAACCAAGTAATAACAAAGATGTTTAAAAGCATTTTGAATATGATTTGTCTTTTCTTCCCTGTTCTTTGTAGAAAGTTAACATATCATACAAGCACACATTTAATTCCACCCTTCCCCCAGTCCTCATATTTACTGATTAATTTAGGAACATTTAAGAGTCACCAATAGAGCTTTAAATGCTCTGAGCTACTTGGATTACAGTAACTTGTGAAGCATCACGCCCCAAAAAGAGAGACTCATGGAAATGCGAACAAATGATGAAAGGGTTTTATTGTGCAGAGATTTCAAAATGCTGGAAATCCTTTTGTATTTCCCTTCGCTTCACTTTTGCTTCCCCTCCCCTAGCTGGGAATAAGGAAACAGCCAAGTTATTCTATAGCTGGTTCCCACCACCGTAACGTTCTGGTTCCCACTGAGCTGTGCATTCAAGCAAAAACAAGAACGTTAACAGCTCCATTCCCATCCATCTACTAGACAGGAACTCACAGATGCTTCATTATATACCTCCCGCTGGCACTGATGAGGCAGAAGATTTGTATAGAAAGGAGGGGGCGACTCAGACAAAACACAAGAGTCATTGTAATTTTTCTCATTCTCAATTCTATTAACTAATGTTAGCCAAAACATCATGCTACTTTAAGCTTTTCCTCACTGTTAAAAAATACAGGCATTGTCAACAGCATCTCGAGAACCTTTCACGTATTGTGCAAGTGTCACATACATGAGTTTAAAGAAGATAAGAGGAGGAAAAAAAAGGACCATTTTGTGTAACTGGAATTTTATTTTATATATAAATAATAACAAGAGACCGAGGAATTTTGAGACTTGCTACTTGCAACGCTGATCCTGCAATGGGACAAGCATGGGCAGACTTGAGTCCCACTGCAGAACTGAGGACAAGGTCTCAGGACTGACCCAAAATACTTAGTGTCCTTTCACAGATTCCACACCAGAAGCCCAAGCAGCACACTGTCAGTCTTTCCTGAGGCAGAAGGCAGATTAGTCACATTCAAAATCAAAACGGATTCAGACGGTTTTCCTCTTTTTCTTGGGAAATTGTTGCTCATATCTATATTTTTTGTTTACCTATAAGCAAGGAGAGGGGACAGAGGATAAGGGGGAGAGGGAGGAAGGAAGAAAGCAGAATTAAATACCATAGGCCTTTTCTCCCCGTTGTCAAAGTGCAATTAAAACTTTGTTCCTCAAACAGATTTTGATCAACTTGCCACGTCAAAGAAAATTCTCAATACCAATTTACTTCTAGTAAAGAGATTTAACTCTTCATATTACTGACATTAGAGCACTAATGATTATGTCTGCTCTAGAGAACTCATTGAACTGTATGGAAATATAAAAGAGAAAGAACACTTCATAGCAACAAAACACCAACTGGAATCTTGTGTAATAAACTAACTTTCTCAAATAGAATTCTTTTTAATTCCCGTCAATTGCATTTTTTCCTAATCTCACTGACTCTAGTGTAAAGCTAGGGTAATTTAACTCGAAGAAATGGAATTACATAAATATAGAACCTGAACACAGTGAAAGTGAGATATGCTGTCTTCATGGAAAAACAAAGCCACGTCACTTCCATGCAACTCTTCAGCACAACAGCTGGATAAAATTAAAGCTTGCTTCTCCCATGATGTGATGTGCTTTGAGCTGTAGTTTGCATATAATTATTGATGACAAATGTAATATAATAAAGGAGTTGCAAAGCTGCTGTTTTTTGGAATGGAGAAATATGTTACTGTCTCCAACCCAAAGTGATTTTGTCCTTGGCTGACCATTCACAAATCAAAGACCCATGCTGTGGCAAAACTTTATGAGGAAAATGAGATTGTATTTATTTTAGTAAGCAGATTCAACTAGGAATATTGCCAACAGTTGAAAATACAGTGAGACTTTCAGGACTGATCTCATTCAGAATAAACAAATCTGTCTTTTCAAAGATCACAGCAGCATTCTCCAACGTTTGGGATCACCCAAGTCCAACAAAACATCTGGACTTGGGTATGGAGTTAAATAACTGGATTTGATTTCAAGCAGAAGTAACAAATCACCACCCCCGCAGAACAGCTGAAAATTGATACTGAATTGAACTTTCACCATCTGGTTTCTCTAGGTCAAAAATCTAGCAGTTGCATTTATGCATCTCCTCCAGAAACATGTGGCAAAACAAGCAGATTTCAAAACCAGCAGCACCCAGGTACTTTAAGCACCTAAGCAATTATCTTAACTCTTTAAAAACAAAGACAGTAGAACATCTGAGACAGCAGCTGTTAGTGAGGTTCTCCTCAAAACTTACTTATATAGCATGAGTATATTTGTGATTAAAATCCTGACGACAAAGGGTCTGGATACCAACTTTAGTATAAGTCTTCCTGACAGCTTTCTTCCTTTCCTTCCACCCACCCCCCCTTAAAAAGAAAATGTGCCTTAAGCAAAAAGCACTAGCATTTCAGAAAGTGAATAATGACCTACCAGAAATTATATTCACGTAGTAAGAAATGCTAAAAGAAAATAAAAGCCATTTACAGGTTTCTGTTTTTAATGCACCTTGATATTTGTACAGCGTCCCACATACATAAATGAAAGTTCAATTTTCCTGGCTTTTTGTCATTTAGTAGCTCTGTCCTAGTTCACAATAAGCACAATATTTTAGTGAATTTTAGAGAAGCTTTTCTTCCTCTTGGTTCTCCTGGGTATTTTTACTCAAAACAAAACCGTTTCCTATTTTTTAAAATTTTTATTTTACATGGCTATTTTATAATGAAAACACACGTATTCTTGAAGACTTTATATTCATATGTCTGAAGGAAAAACTAATATAGTCAGTAAATCAGCCAGCCAACATACCTTTCTGCCCTTGTGAGAATTAGCTATAAACAATTAAAAATACATTAAGGGAAACACAACATTAGAAACTAGTTTTGCTTTTAAAGCCGACTGTGTAACAGTGGAATGCTGTTGCTCACCAGATGTGTACGTTCCATCACATCTGCAAACATTTGTGACCGGTGATGATGCATGGAAGAAAAAAAAAAAAAAATCGGTGCACTTTGCTAAATCCAGACTCTATTTACACAGTTGGCAGTTAGGAAAAGAAAGAATTTTACTGGTAAATGGAACACTGCATACAAAATTAATGAGGAGTCCCTACAACGCTAGGATTACTTTCTGATGAAAAATAAGTCTTTAACATAATGTGAAAATAATATAGGGCAAAGACAAGCAACTAGAAAACACATTCAGAAAAGACATCCTTTATCAACCGATAGCAGAGTAGACATTTGATTTTGTACCAAATTATGTCCAATTACATTATCATTAGTAATAACAAGCCTCAAATAAAGAGCATTTTTTGTCCTATGAAATTGAGCCATCTTAAAAAAGTTGAGAAGGTGTTTTTGTTTTGCTTTTCTAGAAACTGTAAGAATCACGGGACTTGCTTGAGTTTAGAAAGCAGCCCAGCGGCCAAGTCAGAAACAAAACCGGCTTCTCAACTCGAGTTTCTGGCTCGGAGAACTGGGAAACGCTGCCTCCATTTCCTCCATCATTCGTTCCCAACTGATGAAGAATGCTCATTAGGGAGGTGCAGCAACATGAAAGGTCAACACATCGTGGACTGTTACAGGCTGTAAGATAATGCTGTACCCTGGCATTGACAAATCTTTAGAGAAAGGTTTCCTTCCCCCCCTTCATACCTGCACAGGTGTGACAAAGAAGGCAAAGAGGTTTTTGGTACGGGGGGCAGAAACGGGACAGGAAGGAGGAAAAAAACCCAATACATTATCAAGGTCTTGCTAAATTAACTCAGAACCCTTGGAAGAGACATAAATTTACTTGCTATGCTCTAAAGATGAAGAATTTAGATAAGTTAAATAGCGTTAAGGAGCGCTCATATTCTTGAGAAATGTTAAGATGAGTAAAATTATTACTTCTCTTCCCCTCTTTCTTCATCAATATGAAGACAACTACAAGTCAAACTTGCAAATGTTCAGCTTTTCCAGGCTATTTTGCTGCTGTAGCCACATACTGTTATCAGTCTTTATCTTTTACCTGTTTGATGCCAAGTGATCTGGTGTTCTACTTCGGGGCTCGCTCTTCATTTGAAGCAGCATGGATTTCCAAGGGCTTGTCACTATCTGCATCACCCTTGAGGAGGGAAAAATATGCACAAAATTTCAATTGAGGCAATCCATGATTAATGTTTTTGCTAGAACAGAAACCCTCTTCAAAAGCTGAAACAAAAACTTGCAAAATCAAGTGGTTGATGAGACTAATTCAGTATAATATACTCAAATATGATCTTCTCCCAAAAGGTTTCTAGATTTTCGTCTTCCTGTAGTTAGCTGAGCAATTAAAGGATTTGAAAGAACAAGTAGTTCAACAGAAATGCTTTAATTGACTCATCTTGCCTGCACTAGTAACAGAGGATAAATTCCCACAGAGTAGTTGCTATTTTGCATACTCTGAATTCTGTGTGGATTTATACAATAGGTCTCTTTTAGTACGTATCCTTTGAGAGAGTGTTCTCACACTTTCCCCAAAATAAATGATAGAAATCAAAGAATGAAGAGAGGCTTGTTAGAGCGTCTGGTCTATCTCTTTGCCAAGTATGCTGTAATGAACAGGCATTTGGTTATAGTTTTAAATACTTATCAATAAAAGAAAATACTTAAAGGGCCACACACATGGCTAGGGGACTGAAGCAGATGACATACAAGGACAGGCTGAGAGACGTGGGTCTGTTCAGCCTGGAGAAGACCAGACAAAGGGGGAACCTAATTGCTATCCACAGTTCCTTAATAGGCATTTACATATTTGGAAGAGCTAGGCTCTTCTCAGAGGTTCACACCAAGAGGACACGGAAGCATGGCAAATTTCTATTAGATCTAAGCGGGGCGGGGGGGGAATGTATCACACCACTGATCAAGCACTGGAGCAGGTTTTCCAGAGAACTTTTTCAATCTCCATCCTTGGAAATATTCAGCACTTGACTGCACAAGGCCTGAGCCACCAAATCTAACTCTGAAGCTGTCTCTGCTTTGAACAGGGGGCTGGATGAAGTGATCAGAGGTCGCGCCCAGCCTCAATTATTCTTAAATTCTACACGTGAAAATTAAATGGCATTTTCTTTTTATTGTAAAAAGATATTTTTACCAATATGACTTAAATGTGATGGAAAGTGTAACAAAAGAAGCCAGAAGAGACTGGAAAGCATAAACATTTCACAGGATGGGTCAAATTTTTGTCCCAGCACAAATTAAACACCACGAATAAGGCACCGAGTCCATGAGACCCTGCATATGCTGCGCTGGAGATAGGGACTCAATACATCAAGATTCAATTATGAAGATAATTCTTAAATTTCTTTTTCAAAATATGCCCAGCAAGACCTTTAAAAGGTAATTCTTTCTTTCAAAAACTCATTTTGTTTTCATCACTATCCCGGATATTTCATAGTATAAGAAATCACATCCACAAACCACACCCATTTCAAAATAATGATCTACTCCGTAATTTTCTTGTACAGGAACTTGCAAGTTATGACATTTTACTACAATTTATAATGAATAATCTGACTCACAATGCCTCATCTCAGGGATTACTCAATCGTGAACAAATGAACTAAAAATAAGTTGTTCACAGAGTTTTCTATGTTTTTCCACTTGCTTGTTTTAACTTGTAAAAAGCAAATACCATCTAGGTAAGCTTTTTTTTTTTGTCCTGAAAGGGGGAAAAAACCCTAGAGCAACACACACAGACACACAAACGTACAGGAAAACAGAGGTCTTGCTCAGTTCCTTTGCTTCTGTAAGCTCAGTAGATCTCATCACAGGGCTTGTCTTCACTAGCTCTATTAAGCCCGAGTTATTTAATTCAAGTCAATCCACTGCTAAACGGTCATCCCTCACACAAACTCATTTGCTGAATTAGCAATTAAGAAGTTCTTTTAACTCCACCCACTGTATGTGCCCACTACGTAAACAGTGAGCCTGAGTGAGACTGATCAAGCAGTAATATGGGTAGCCAGAAAAGGACGTCCTTTGAGCTAGCACAGGGCATAAACACACCTCATTTTACAACAAAGTGTCAAGGTCCTCTAGTCACACTCAAAACCAGATCAGAAGTAAAAAACGTGTTTAGATCAATGACCCAGAAGACAGGCCGCCTCTGTGCCACGATGCCCTCTCATCATTAGAAGCAGGCACCTATTCAAGATGGTCTTTCTACTTTCTGGCTCAACACAGCCACCCCATAATATATCTGGGTGGCCAGAGGAGTTCATGCATCAGAGCTCTATCCCACAGCAGAAGGGGAAATATTTTGCAGCATTCTTACGCATCTGACAGTTTCAACCAAAAGGTGACTGATAAGAAATCTCCATAACTTATTCATTAGTAAAGTGTTCAATACATTGGGATTCCATGGGATTAAAAAAAAATTCAAAAAAATCATTATTTGAAATTGCAAATAATATTGGAACTAAGGCGACTGTACACAATGCTTTTTGTAAGGTTTCAGTACATGAGTGGTTAAAAGACACCCCAACTTAGCTCACAGTATCTAACAGAGATACATTGAGACCTCAATTTGAAATTACAAACTGAAAAAAAAATGCAATGATTTCTGTGAAAATTTTCCTTCAATACGGAGAAAAATGCCCAAAATCAACTTAGCCTAATGTCAAAAACCCAAATGTGGCGTGGCTTTTTTCTCACATTACAGCCTAGTCTAATGCAGAAGTTAGTTTCTGTTGCTCCCTCTGAGAAAGTCTTGCAGACGGCCAGGTCCTTTTACACTAGCACCTAACCTTAGAAATTATAACTCCAAAGGTAGGTATACATCTCTCTTATGCTTATGGAAAACTCTTGAAAGGTAGAGTCTGGCCACCAGAAAAAAAACAACAGCTGCAAAAGAAAAACAAAGGCTCATCTGGGCTCACAGATTAATAATTTACCTTTTTTCCTGTCCTCTTCTGTTTGCAATGTATTGCTTAGAATAAAGAGAACGTCACTGGTTTACCTTATTCATCCTCCCTAGTCAATCAATAACTTACTCTCCATCTTTTATTTTTAGCTGAGCTTGAACTTAACTCTCTTAGAAATATGAAGCACTTCTAAAAATATTACTCTTAAGTTGCCCTAAAAAACTCAACTTTGTGGAGTAGATTCTGTCTTTCCTACCTCTAACACATTTAAATTCACCACAGCCCAAACTAAGGATCCAATTTTACAAGTTTTACTCTGTTGTTGTTCTTACTACCAAACAATAAAAGGAGAGCGTATAACAGGGAACAGTATTTTCTGTCAGAAGTAGACATTTATCTTTTAGTTCAGATGACCAAACTTTTGCTTGTCTGTTCAGAAGCTACCAAAGACAAGTCTTACAAGCATTCTGTAGAAAGAAGCTCTCTCAGCTGCTTATGCTGGGTTTTGAAAGATGCTCAAAACACACGTGACTTAAAAACTCTCCTCTTCAAACACAATTTAAGGTTTGCTATGGTCACAATCCACGATGCTTATGGTAAAGCTCCCCAGTCAGCCACTGACAGCACAACTTCCACCAGAGCTTTCAGGTGAGGAAAAGCCAGGTCCACAATTTCCTTGATGCTTGTTCTCAGCAAGCGCAGGAAATAAGAGCCCAAAGCTGAGCAGTCTTTGCACTTGGCAGCACTCTGTCACCAGCTAACAATTAATAAAATACGCAGAGATAGCTATATAGATATAGCTATATTTTTAATATTTATAGATTTTTATATGTGTAATAAATATATAGAGAGAGGTTAAAAATATATATTAGTATTGGTAAGTCACAGGTGATTTCTATCAACAGACCGGGCAGGAATGAAAACCTAACAATAAGCTGCAAGAGTTTCTCTCAATCTCTGAAGCTGTTTAAACAACCAAATGAACAGCAAGAAAAAAAGAAAAAAAAAACCATCAGTTTTCTGTAAGATCTTATTACTGATTGGACCAAAGTGCGAAAGAGCACACCTATGAAGAAAGGAACAAGACCTGAAAAGGAGGGTGTTTTTAGAGTTCTAGTGCTGTTCTGGTTTTTCACATTTCAGCCACTTCAGTGAAAACAATGGGTGCCTGATTCCGTGTTGGGGGAAGAGAAAGAATCCAGAATAGGTGAAAATACAGCAAAAGTCTTTGAGCGGTATAAAGACAAGACAAAGTGAGAACTAACTGAAAAAAAACCAAAAAACCTGTTTTTCTATGTGTTTCAGTACATATTAGCTCACTGGCTGAAATAAAATCTGGGTTTAAGTGACTTGGTGCCCTAACACATGCCCTTGTCACTTGAAGACGAAGTCATTATAGTATGAGAGCTAACAACCCTACAGCACAATACAACAGTACAAATTATGGAAGTATCCAAACCAGAGGCAGAAGAGGAAGGGCAAAAAGGCTGCATTTCATAAAAATAAACATCAAATGAGCTGACTGACAAACAGGACCTGATTGTTAGAAACTTACAGGTGGTACATATTGAACTGTGGCTCTGAAATACTGATCTTTAAGCAGTTTTCTTGTAAAGAAGTTATACTCCTTTGTATGTAAAACCACAGTCCTTAACTTCACGCTGTTGCACAAAATCTTCAAGCTGCTATGGTTCATCCATCCCTCTGATCTAAGAACAGGTATTAAAGCTGATAAACTCAGCCAGTATTAAACAGAGATCGCTGCGAACAAGAAAAGAAAAATGAAAGAAGCTGCAATTCACTGGCTTAACAGTTCAGCTAGTTCAACACTGTTGTAGGCACTGGAAGGCAAAAAAGTGTAGCAGAAAAGAAATGTAGAAAAGTATGATCTTGCACGAACTATGATCTTATTAGGCAGAGCAGAGGGACCAGTTACTCACAAAGACTAGCTGAAGGCAATGCAGGGTGTTAGCTTTCATAATTGCAAAACCCCATTAATGAAAGTTTGATGCCGCCTAAAGGCTACTCAAAAGGGTTTCAGATGCATCATTCTAAAAAACTTCATAAAGGCGTAAGTTGGTATGATTCTCTACAAATTTTGCAAACTAAGTTTAAGATAAACAAGGTTTGAGGAACACATCTTCCATTTCACTATCGCTTCCCCTAAGGATTTACAACCTGATGATATAAATGTTAACACCAGTTCCACTCATTTCTATGG